CCTGCAAGGAAGAATATACAATGATGAGACACTCTTGCAAACAAAAGAAATAAAACAACAAGATAGAGAAATAGAAAAATGAGAAGAAGAGAGAGAGAGTGAAGAATCTTCTGCACCAAGCAAACTAAGGAGGGAGAGAGATCATGGAGAGAGAGTGAGTAGAGAAAGAGAGAGATCTAGCTGGTTGATTGCACGTGCTCAGATTGGGGTGGGAGGCAACCACCGAATGCAGACAACAAAGTTGGGGTGAAGATGCGGCCAAGGTAGAATGGTGGATCGTCGGGTCTATTTATGGAGAGTAGGAGAGAGAAAAGTTCGTAAGGTTTTTTGAAACCGTTCACTGTTGTATTGTTTGAACATAAAAGGTTTTACTTCCCTAAGTTTCAACAGAAACAAAACATTTCTCATATGAGCCAAAAAAAAAAGAAGATAGAAATTCTTTTAACTGTAGCACTCCTGCGATTCAAATGCAGAAGTGCTATAGAATGGGTGAACGTTTGGTTTCTGAAGCCAAATGTTTGCCCAAACAAACACGCCCTAAGGAACTTACTAGGGCTGAGACACGCCTATATAGACTATGTCTTTCCATTGCTTGATGCAAACAACCAACTAAATTCTTCCCTGCCAATCCAAAGTCAACATGTCTTTATTAGCACATTTTCAAGGGAGAAATCTAATTGCATAGAATATCAAGAAACTGGGAAACTAGCTCAAGATATAAGAGAGAACATTTAACAATAGCACATATACATGATTGTTTATACATCAGACCATCTAAACGCCATACGAGAAGGCAAAAGTTCTACATATCCATTCCGAATTCAACCTGCAATAACTTACTTTTCCTAAATAAGCACAAGTGGAAACAGAATTATATATGATTTATATGATGACCCAAAGATCTGTTTTTCATTTTATAGGAATAGAGTAACATGTGAATTTTTATTGAGAAATAACCTAGTTAATTACTTTTCTTTCTTGCTCACTACACAAGTCTTGGTCACTGAAAGCCCATTCATTACATTTCGTTCTAGTATTATCTGCTCTCCGCCCATGGAAATCCTTGTGGATGGGCCTGGAGATAAAAAAAATTTTGAGCCCTTCTTACAGCACCACTGCTAACATGCACCTTATTGAAAAGAAAGAATCACACCTCCTAATCACCTCAACAAAGCACCTTAATTCATCCATCTGAACATCCATCTATTTCCACTCAAAAGGAAGGACAATAAAATGGTCTCAACAAAGCACCACCAGTCTAAATATCGCAAACAAGGAACATTCAAGCTATAAAATGGTCTCAAGAAAATTCAATTGTTTGTCGGGCATGTACTAGAAGGACAATATTGTAGAACTGCTTCCTTAGCATTATCTTCTTGATTGAAAGCATTGTATCATACATAGCCACCCCTATGTGTACACATGAGTTTTTCTGGACATAATGTTTGTAAAGTTGGAAACATATTCACCGTATTTGTTTTCTTGCTACTGCCTATCTAATGCATTTTATGTTCTGAGAAACCAACGAGCAAGACACATGAAAAAAGAATATAGAGACTAAAAGAACTAATTGCCTATGAATATTACAACGAAAGAAAAATAACCATATGAACCAAAAGGGTTAAAATCAGATAAGTACCACAAATAATTTTGCTACAAGAACGACATCTAATGCTTCAAAAAGCGCTAGGAGGCTCCTAGGTGGTCAGGGGGGTCCAGGCCGCCCAGCGCCTAGGCGGGCGGGCGAGCGCCCAAAACCTGGGCGGCCCAGTAGAAATAATTTTTTTATTGGATTTTCTCTCTCTAAAATAGCCTCAATAGGTTTTAGGTTTTAAATGAACCTAAAACCCACAATTTTGCCCTTTTAATATTAAAAAAATGACCCAAAAATACCCTCAAGGAGCCGTAATTCCGCCCCTGAGTGGGGCACAAGCCCTAGGCAGCCGCTAGGCGCTGGGCGGTCCCCTTTTTGAAACAATGACGACATCAGTAAATTGTATAGCTAAATATACTAATCTCAAAACACTGAATGCTTGGTATACAAGCATAATACAACATTGTGTGCACCACATAATATATATTAATACAGAGCAAATTTCAAAATCAGAACGTGAGAAATCAAGATGCCACAACATCTAAAGCAGAAACTAAACTAAAACAAATCAAAGCAGGTAAATATTCACACTTACAACTTCCAAACTGAAGTATATGGCAAACAACCCAATTCAATCTAGAATGATCTTGTCACATGAAGTCAACACAGTTAAAATTTTCCATTTCACGGCTTTCTATTACCCAATGAGAGATAATACCATTTCAACAACAGCACAATTAAATGAAACCCCAGATAAACGTAACCGCAAAAACCCAAGAATATCTCATTCGGCAAAGGAATTCCTCCATAAATTTCAGCCCAATGAGTACAAAAACCAAATAACAGAAAACCCCAGAAATTCTGTAAGCAAATAACAATAGCATAGAACCCAGTTTCATAGATATCAAATCCTATTGCATAATACAACCTCCTAAATAAACTTTCAGCAATAAATAAAATAAAAAGAATAAAAGAATACTTAGATTATTAACTCATAAAACCAAATGAAAATTAGTTCAATGACACCACAAAAACAACATCAACAACAATAGCAATAATGATCAATTAATTAAACAACTAAAGGCCAAAACATTTTACATTATATAAACAAAATCAAATTAATCAAACTCTCGAGCCCCAAAATAGTAATTCTCAATAAAAAGAAAACTCACATCAAAATTTATGTGACAAACTAGAAAAATAAAACATAAATAATAAATAAATAAACTCAGTGAATATGGGGGTTTTCTTCTTTGTGCATAACCAAGAAAAAAAAAGAAACAAAAAATCAAATAAAAAAAAGAAACAAAGCTCTCTGTAGACTTGGGGTTAATCTTGTTTGAGCTTAATAAAAAAAAAAAGGAACCTAAATCAAAAATAAAATCTCATTTAGATCTGGGATTAACGTTTTTGAGCTCTAAATAATAAAAAAATTAAAAAAGGACTTGCTGTAGCTTTCTCTAAGCGCTTAGCTTGCAGCAACGGAAGAGATGAGGGGAACAGACCTAAGGCGAGGAGGACAGGAGTTGGTTGAGGGTTGAGCTTTGTTGGGGCAAGTGGCAATGGATGGTTGAGTTGCTAGGGTTTTGAGTGAGAAAGGGTTAGAAAGATGGATGGTTAAGTTGCTAGGAATTTTTCTTCTCAGAGGGTGGTGAGTTTTTTCTTCTCAAAGAGGTGAGTTAACCAAGGGTCCCCTGCGTGGATGAGTTTTGGACTTTATAGCCCCGATGAGTTTTCCATGTTACAACTTTTTTGCTCATTAACTTTTCGTGAAAGTTGCAAAGCGGGGTACCAATGTCCCGCAACTTTCCCCAGTGAAATAGTGTTTTGGGGAATGTGGTGGTTCCAACTTTCCACCTTTTTGTTGTTCCCAAACAAGGGAAAGCTATAGTATAGGAGAAAGTTGGGACTTTCCCACACATTCACCGTTATCAAACGCCCCTTAACAGAGTAAGGGGAAGGCCCTAAAGAACATGAATGGATGTCATGAGAAAAGATATAATGACTTACAGTTTCACTAAGGGTATGACCCTTGATAGAATGGAATGGCGGAAGAAGATGCATGTAGCCAACCCCAAATAAAGCTCGGAAGATGATGATGAAACTATCTAGACTCAATCTGACACTTTAAATTACTCTTTCCAATAACTTTAAAATGAATGAAATTTAATCACATCAAGAATGTCACACTCCATTTTCAGTTTGGACAAATCTTAAACCACAAGCAATAAAATCAAACAATTCCTGGATTAATAGAGTTAAGTTAATGAATCCACATTAAAAGAACAAAATTTTGTAAGCAATATCACAGAAAAATGGAAGTTAAGAACCTTAGAAGTGCCAATGAAATCAAACGATTCCTGCATTTAACAGTGTTTAGTTAATGAACCAACATGAAAAAACAAAAAAAATTAAGCAACATCCCAATAAAAATGGAAGTTAAGAAAACCTCAGAGGTGCCAAAATGGACAGTTTTGCTCAATGACCCTCAATCCTAGCCTCATAATTGCAACCTCAAGAATCAGAAAATTTGTACTCCCAAAGATACACACGTAAATAGAGTCTCAAAAAATAAAAGTTTTAATTACATTTAATTCTCTAGAGTCTTAAATTCCTGGATTTATAGTCACAAGATGATTTTTACTCGAGCAAATAACATGTTTCAGAGCCTATTTAAAATGAAAGAAAAACGATATAATGACAAAGAAAGAACATAAAACAGATGAACAGACCCCCAGACTTTGCATAAAACTTTCATTAATTTATTGTCAGTTGCAACTTGGAATTCCAAGTTATTTGCACTCTAGTTCTGTTACTGAGCAGCTCCTAAATGTCATTACTTACTCTCATAATAAATAGACTTTGGGAACTCGTCAATCAAAAATCCACATAGCAAAATTCTACTTCCAATTCAAAGAATCTTCATCGCAATTCCACTCCTTTTATAAGACCTGTGTTTAAGCTATTTCTGTGCAAACTCATAGGAGTGAAATATTTACTAATCACAAGTAACAAGGGTCACAGTAAAATTTTTAGCCAACCGTAAAATAGTTGGTCAAAGGCTCTAATGATGATGATCAAATAACAGGTGTCGCTATCCCAAATTACCTACCACAAAGCACCAAAAAAAAAAGGTATTCCAATTAATAATATAATATATTCTTTAAAAAATAAATACAGTTCTTTGTTCCTTTTATTCTTTGCCTTAATCTAAGAAGAACACAAACTGTTTTCTAATATCAATAAATAGGATCCACACATCATACATCAAAGGAAGAATTCTCATCACAAGACATGAGAATAATGTTGCATAAGAAAGGAGAGCACAAAACCGAAGGTCAGTTGTGTCGAAAAGGAAATTCTAAGTTTCAAGTCTATAAACCTGTTATTCAAAACGAATAGAGGGGGACAACATAGGGTGGGGACCCATTCACCAGAAAGGGAATTCAAAGTGCATTTGACACATGAAAAGCCCGTATCACACCCTCATTAAGACCCAATGCCAGTGTCACATCAAGAAATAAAGTCCAAAGAGAAAACAGCCAATCCAAACCAGATGAAAAAAGCCAATTCAAAGTGGAGATACATACTATGACCATCTTCTTTCTCCATCTTTTACTCTCCACCTTTCTCCATCTTCGATAACAAATAATCTTGGTATGGCTTGAAACCTTCCTGCCATTGAGAAAATCTTTTCGTCAAGCATTTAAATATTTCCATCTCTTTTGATTCAACTTTGACTCTAGATCCACCAAAATTCAGCTTCACAGGGCTTAGCTCGTCAAAGAGTTCTGATGCATCTAGTTTCTCTTCACCTCTAGGATCACAATTTTTCTTATGCAATGCATTAATAAAAAGATCAAATCTGTTGTCTTTGTAATGACCAAATTCTGATTTCCCAAAAGAAAGGTTTTCAAGGGGTGACTTCTCAGGATCCAAATTATTTGCTTGGGTCTCATGCAGAAATAAGTGCCCCTCTTCTTCGGGCTCTTGGGACTCAGTCCATGCATTATAATCATCAGAGAGAGACACAGCATAAGGCAATTCAGGTCTACGACGAGATTTCGACAGTTTCGAACTCTTGGCTAAACTGATGAGTTCTTGACATTGATTACCCATTTCCGCATCTGCAGACAACCAATTAATCTTAGGAACAAAAGATGCTCTTCCTTTATCGATGATCTGAAAAGTTAGCAAAAGGGGAAGTGGGAGCACTGGCCCAACTAGATGGGGAGGCACTAGATCAATTACATCACCCTTCTCAGTGGGAGGACCAACGTGATCACACTTCTTAGTGGCCTTGGAGCGCGATCTCCCATAACTTTTCGATGGTACACGAAATGGAAACGGTGGCAATTGAGTGGAAGAGGAGCTAGGAATGGCCAAGAAGTCATGACCAGTGTGATTAAGATCTGAATTCCTCACAAATGCCAACTCCACATAACACAAATTTAGACCAGTCCACATTCTCTTAGATATAATTTCATGAGCACTGCTAGGAGTATTTATATCACCAAGAACATAGTCCATCGAGGGAAGTGAGCCAAACTCCACCTGACCTGAAGCTTTCCATGCCTCCAATATTAACTCCTTTGCAGCTTCGGTACTTTCAACATTGTTACAATGCATTGATCCTCTACTTGAAGTTTCTTCTAGTCTCGAATTCAAAACTTCAACAAGAGTTGGACCACCACTAAAGTATCCCAAGAAGTAATCAAACTTTTTGTGCAGCAATTTGAGATGATCGATGTCTTCTGGTTCCACATGTGAAGAAAATGTAGTCTTGGATTGTACCTGAACCGGTTTACAACTGGACTTTACACAAGAGAAATCCCACAAAGCCTGGTATTTCAATGTTTCAAAGATCCCATTACATGTCAGCCTAATCATAAAGAAACCACTTGTACAATCATCTTCATATCTCTCTGAACATGGCTCACTAAGTATGCAAAAACCCAAAACCTTCTCACGCTTTTGCAGCTTATATGAATCTGTCCTGAATTCTTCTTTCAATTCACAATCAACACAACAACAATCCTGTGAAACCAAAGCGATCTCAGATGGAAGACCCCAAGCATATAAAGAACCACTATCAGAGGTCCAACCTGGCTTCAAATCAACTATAGGATGAGGCCCATAACAAAAAAGGCTAAATTCACAATTTCGAAAAGAACCCACCAAAATAACGTAACCTGAATCAGAAACCCATTTAAGTGTTCCATTAGATGGTCTTAGATCTGATAATCTATACATATTAATGTAACGCACATGATCCAGATGATGATCCCATTGCAATACAGGATCTAATGGCTTCCTAGTGTCAAACAGTAACAGATAGTATTTAGTAGCCACCGAGAACAGGAAACCATCAAAACTGGCTTTGCAAAAAGCTTGAAATCTATCACTCTCTATGAAATGGTGCTTGACAGAATCGCATAATTCGATCTTTGCTAAAACTGTAACCTTCACCTTCTTGTCCCTAAAATCAACCATCAAAACCGAGGTTTTAGAAGTAACAATCAAAACTCTAGGATGCCATCCAAATTCACAACAAAACCAATCGTTGTCAGACTCTCTTGAAATCAAACTCCCCAAATTCTTCGAAACCAACTCTCCTTTAAATTTCACAGGCAGATTCTTGACCCCAACACAATAATTTAAGTCATATAATCTCAATTCCCCATTAACCAACAATACGGCACTCTCTTCAGGCAAATATGGACTCCAACATGCATGGGCCACCTGATTTTTAAAGGTGGCTGATGCTAAATTTTGTGATAATGGTGTCGAATTCCTAACACCAACTCGAAGCCAATGAACCTCATAATGAGAACAAAGTAGAACAAAACCCTCTGTAAATTGATCGCATACTTCAGAGGAAGAGGCACAGTCTGCCGTTGAGATCACAGAGACCCGAATTATTCGATTCTTGAAACTTGGAGAAAGAAGGAAAACACTATCCTTGACGAGGGAAAAACCACCACCATTGTCTCTCTCTCTCCTGCCTACTACACAGGCAAGCCGATCAGAATTCTCTCCAGATGGGAAAAGAAGGAGAAATTCACCGTTGCGACAGGTGAGAAGATGGAGGGGGTTACCAAAAAAATGGCGTGAAGAATGTTTTCCTGCTGCACTTTTGGTGGTGGAGAAGATGAGAGGGAAAGGAATGAAGTCATCATCTGATCGTCGATAGAACCAATCAGCGGTGGAAAAGACGTCTTGGGCTGTTGGCGGAGGAGAATAGCAGACTGGAGTGTTGGCTAGCGATAGAAAGTGGGTTGCAGGGTTGATTGGTGAAAAGCAGAGGGGGCCAAGGGAGTGAGCAGATTCGCCGGTGATGAGGCGGGGGCAAGAGAAGACCGAGCCTACAGGAAACTGAGATTTCCAGTCCTCTGAGAAGTCCATGGCACCTGAAAATAGAAGAGCATACCGAGTCTATATCCAGGGATTCTCTCTTTTCTCTCTCTCCTCTGCTTCAAAGAAAACAGGACCAGTGAATCTTCTCTCGTCTTCTATTCTATTGCGAAATTAAAGAGAACCCAGTAAATTTTTTCTCTCCTTTTGCTGCTAGAGAAAGACAAGCTAGTAATCATCTCTCTTAGAAGAAAACTCATTAAATATTTCCTCTTGTTCTGCTGCCAAAGAAAAGCCAATGAAACCTTTCTCCGGTTCTAATAAAAAATAAACCCAGTATAACACCCAAAGCATCCATCAGACATTACACAGAATACTCCATGAATCTGCAAGAGAAATAAGTGAAGGTAAATGGGGAATCTTCAAAGGTGAATAAATAATAAAACTTGAAGAGAAACTCGATCAAGTAGCTTGGCCATAAAAAATCTCATAAAAGCATTGTAAACCCAAAGGGAAAAGGATATGGACAGAGAGAACGTGAAAAACAAAGGTAAGAAAGAGAGAGAGTCCATGGAGAAGATGCACAGAGTACCTGGAGAAAGAATGGTGCTAGAGAAAATCAGTGCACATCCTCGAGCGTTCTTGGGCCATACAAATTTCATTAAGTAGGGCTTTTCACTAATTTCACTCTAGGCCTGTTCGACAACCAGAAGCAGGCAGTTCCCTAGAAGCTGGAAGTTCGGACTCCCTCAAAAGCTAGATGACCTAGCCCCTTGTTCGGCCTACCTCAAAAGCTAGATGACCTAGCTCCTTGTCCTAGAAAAATAATGTGTTTGATAACTTATCTGGAAATTTGAGGGAGCCTGGATACTTGTGTTTGCCACCACCGGGAAGGTTTCAAACCTGGAGACCTGGTAATTAGCTAGTTTAATTCATACCTTAAAGTATTTGTATTTAATAAGGTAATATCAATTCAATAATAAAAATTTCATAGTCAAACAAGATAAATATGCATATTTACACATCTACTACTAATAAATATCCCAATCCATATCTTGATCCAAATGAAAAAAAGCTAAATATAAGCAACGACTCACATTCTAAAAGGGCTCTCCATTGACAGTTAGCTTATGTAATATATGTATATATATATATATAGTAGGGTGTGGGTTGTGTAACGCTGACGCCT